CATCTACCCAGTTATCCATCCATCCATCCATCCATCCATCCATCCATCTCGCATTTATTGAGCACTAGCTATGTACCATCACAGTGCTATGCACAAAGATTACAAACATCAATGTCATGATTTCTCAGCGGCTTCTGTACATGTGGAGGCAGCATAATTCAGCTCAGCCTTTTAGGGCCCTCAATGTCTTCTTAAGCCTGAGGAGTGAAGAGATAGAAAAACTAAAAAACAATAAGAATTAATTTGGATGGCATATTGTTTTGGACATTTTCCAAGCAGGATAATTATCTAAAACCAGGCTGACATTTATATCTCTAGCCTCCCATGCTTGTTAAAATGCTTTTCTTACTGAAATGCTCATTGAGCTAAATTTCATCTAACATCTGGCCACTGTATAAATATAGCAATGAAAACATGTCTTGTTGCCTACACATTAGGTATACATTTTAGAAATCCAATTAGCGTTTCATTCTTTTTGTGCACGTTCCTTTTATTTTCCTTTAGTGTTTGAGCTAATTTCAGGCTCCTAAATGGAATTATAAGAATTCAAATATATAGCCAGTGCCTATATAACAGCAAAACCAACTAGATTGGAGTTTAGCACTATGTGGCGTTTTCCATTCATTGTTAGATGTTCCCTGAAGTTCTTTATTCACTCATGAAATGAGCATTTGTTAAGGGAAATGTCAAGCCTAGGGATCCATACTTAGTATTATGAGATGCAACATAATTCAGGGAGATCAATAAATAATACAAAGTCTTGGCCCTCAAGGAGTTTAGAACTTAGAAGGGAAGACAGACCTACACAAATGATTGTCCTCCGATGTGACAGATGCGATGAGAGAGGTTCATGTCCACCTGGCTCCTGAGGCACCATTTACTACTCGTCGATGGGTTGTACACGACAAAAATGATTTTCCCAGTCCTTCCCTGAGGGTCTATAGCAAGGGTGGGCAAACTTTTTGACTCGAGGGCCACAATGGGTTCTTAAACTGGACCGGAGGGCCGGAACAAAAGCATGGATGGAGTGTTTGTGTGAACTAATATAAATTCAAAGTAAACATTATTACATAAAAGGGTACGGTCTTTTTTTTTTTTTAGTTTTATTCATTCCAAACGGGCCGGATCCGGCCTGCAGGCCGTAGTTTGCCCACGGCTGGTCTATAGCCTCTTAAAATTGAGGAGCCCCTCAAACCAAGGACTCGAGGGGGTAAGCCAGTACTCATGGCACCTATATTATCCATCTGCATAGGCAGGACCTGAGGATGGATCAACTACTTGGCAATAGCACCTTCATTTGAGTCACAGTTGTTTGTCTTCACTTTTAGACTCGTTGTCATGTTAGCTGATAGTCTATGAATGAATGAATTTTCAAACATCACCAAGCACTATGCGTACCTTTTAAAACATTAAAACGTTTATTTTCACAAGCTTAGTATGATGAGATACAACATAATTCACGGAAATCAACCACAATGCTAATACTTTAATAGATTATCCCGAATATTAGACATTACAGTTTAAATCTCCTTAACATTAGCTCGAACGTTGGAATAACATTTCCGTTAATAAATGATTGTGCCTATAACCATATGTTCAGTTTATTCTCACCAGTTTATCATGAATTACAATTTCATTGTGATTTGGGTCATAAACATGATCAACTATTGTTTATATATTTTCATAAATTGCCTGTGTATTTAATTAATCCTGAAGAGAATCTAGAAATATCTCCCATTGGGTTCTATAAATTAAGTACACTTTTTTAGCTCTTGAATTTTAACACACCTGGGATCACTATAATGGCTCTTAAATTTACTTAAGTAATTATTCTACTTGTTGTATAGCATTTATTTGATAATGTATTTTATAAGCTATAGTTATTTTGTGAATGTGTGCAGCCACATGTGTTGGGCCCTGAATTCAATGTCTTCCAGGTATTTCAGAAAAATTATGGGCTTCAAAAGTTACTGCTATTTGGAGGCGATCTGTGAAGTACCACAATCCCAATGCAAAGAGAGAAAATGTGTGGCAAAGAATGTGTCTAGTTATACTTTCCAGAGAGTTACCACATCTTCCTAATACTTTTGATGCTACAAACATATCATGAAAGACAGAGTTACTATTACTATCAGGTATAAGATATTCTGCATGTGCATGTTCTATAGAGCTCCTGATGAGAATTATATCGGCTTTATGCTGTTTGACACGGGCCCTCTCGAGCCCCCAGTGCCCTCTTCAGTGGTCACAAAGGTGATTTCTTTGTCCAATGTTGACAGCAAGTGGGGATAATGGGACAGGTTGCAACAAAGGGCCTCGCCAGAGTCAGTTTTAGCATTGGAATTTGCTCCTCTATTTTGGAATTTTCCTGTTCATTTTGGAGTTTAAACCCATAAGTGAGTTGCCTGGTTTCAAGGCCCAAGAAGAATATTTTTTTGCTATTTAGTAATTAATCTAGTAATTAATCAGGCAGCTTAACGCCATCATCTATTTTATTCACATGTTTCTGTCCTTCCTGTAAAATCTTCAAGACTGAGCGGCAGCTCTAACCAGCATCCACCAACTGCATCAGGAAAATGGTCAGATCTTCAAAAGTGTAAGAATGAATGGAAAACCTCAAACAGCAGGAATCTTAAAGTTAGGCAACTCCTTCGGCACCAGAGAACACTTCCTTCCAGGGTGGACATTTCGGACTCCTTGAAGGAAATTCTGTTCTTCAGCAATGAAAACATTCGTTCGAATTCTGGGCCTCAGCTTATTAAAAAACCGCTGAAAACTTAAACAAATGACTCTTCCCCTGGGAACTCTTTGATAAACTGTACACGTTCAGGGTTGGGACCACCTTGCACTTTGGGGCGCTTGCCGTACTTCTCCGAAGGGAAGCGGCGGGTGCATCGTTTCCTGCCTGGGTATAATTCATTTATGTCCTCCCAGCGTTTTCGCTCTCATCTCCTTTCTGCGTATCTGTCAGTGGCGCTCTCCTGGGAGCAGCACCAGGCACTTCATTAACAAGAAGGGATTAAAGGAAAATACCCTGGTACGTGGGTACTTTGGAGCCATCCACGAGGCCTAGACCCCTGCTGCAGCGGTGTCATTAGGAAGGTACAATCTCATTCCTTTTTATGGGCAGAGCCTTGAGTGAAACGCAAACCATGCTGTCTCATACGCAGGGAGAAAGGGCTAAAACTTTCATGTCTCCAAAAAGGTAGACTGCGAAAATATACTTTATGGTTTTTACACTTCTATGACCTTCCCCTAATAGTCCTTGAAATCATGCTTTTACTAAATATGGAACAACATAAAGATTAAGAGAAAATTATTCATGTTCTCACATCCCACAGGAAATGTATATATTATTATTAACTAACACGTGCTTTGAATACCTACTATGTGCCAGCCACTCTGTTAGCTGCTGGAAAACGAAGCACAAAGACATCGTTTATGCTTTTCCTCAGCACTGACTTACCGAATGCCTAACGGAAGTGCGTGGAAAAGAGGTGAAACAAGGGCGAGTGAAGTGATGGTGAGCCAATGAGCTGTACGAGGCTGGGAAGATCTGCTTCGCTGTCCTTCTTCGCCCATTTTTGAACTGAGATGTTTGCAAATGACCTTTTGAGCGGAACCACCAGCGATTGATTCTAAGTCGTCAGTGGTGTCTCATACACATTTAAGAAGGCTGGCGCGGAGCATCCTTAGCATCGTATCTAGTTCCTGTAGATGCTCCCCAAACAGGAAGCAACCTGCATCACCTGCAGAGGGTGTGGTTGGCCACACCCTGAGAAAGGGGCCTGGGATTTGGCACCTGCTGCAAAGAATGCCAGTGGCCGGGCCGGCGTGGCTCAGTGGTTGAGCGTCGACCTATGAACCAGGAGGTCAGGGTTCGTTTCCGGTCAGGGCACGTGCCATGCTGTGGGCTCGATCCCCAGAAGGGGGCGTGCAGGAGGCAGCCGATCAATGATTCTCTTTCATCATTGATGTTTCCATCTCTCCCTCTCCCTGCCTCTCTGAGATCAATAAAAATATATTTTAAAAAATGCCGGTGGCCCTCCCGGGCACAGCACTGGGGTGATGACTGCCTGGGAACCTCGCACGTCACGTGTCACGTTCCTAGCACCGAAGAGAATCAGGTTTAATAGTGGTCCATTATCGCACGGCTACAGACACGGCTGCATCAGCGCTGAGATGCGACGCACAGTTGGAACTGCGTGCGCGAGAAGAAAGCCCTTGACGATCAGCTGTTTACCAGCCATTCTTCGCCGTGATCGCATTTTGCTGCACGACGGGCTTTTGTTCAGTGGAAGCGCCGTTTGCAGCGCTCTGTCTAAGATAAAGGCTAGCCGGCCCGGCTAAGATGATAGAAACTGGGGCTTGAAGAGACCATTCTACTGACAGTGAGGCCAAGCAGCACAGGAGAAAACAAACTACTTTGACAAATAAACGAGTCGGTAAGGAAAATACTGAGAAAGCGCGTTGGGTTATGTACAGAATCCCTCCTAGTGAAAGATTGGTCATCTACTCGGCCTTGAACACAGGACGCTCTGCTGTCCTCACCCTTTTTATGTTACAGTCACGCTGTTCCTTGTCCCTCACGCGTGTTCACTCATTAAGATATCATTGCACCCACAGCAACGATGATCAGCGCATCCCATGAGAAGGGAGACAGCAGCAGAGGCCGGGACTAGGCGGGGCCAGGCCACACCTTCTCGAGCGGACAGAGCTTACTAGTCAACAAAAAGCCCAAACTCGCCTATTACATTCTTGTTATCAAAAATAGGTCTCAGCTAATGTTTATCTATAGATAACCAAAGTTACAAACAAACAAAACCCCTAGTTTTGCCAATAAATTAAAAATAAAAAGTAAGCAAAGTTGTTAGGTTAAAAGCGTAGTCTGTCACCCCCACGCGGTGGATTCGAGGATGTGCACTGAAAACAGAACGACGACCTGATACCAGAATTCGGGTTTCCTCTTTCCTATGGTTTCTGTGTGATGGTTCTTTTCTCCCACCCTCATAAGGTCTCACGAATCGGTTTGTCCTGAATCTCAATAGATGTCTCTTATGATTTGGATGTTTTCGAGCTAACACATGTATAGGGTTTCTGAACGTTCTTCCCATTTTGGGTTTTAGTTCACATTATCGTAGGCATTAGGAGGAGGAAGGACTATTATGAATTGGAGTTTGGGGTTGAAGTTTGGTATTTGAAATATAAATGGAAATAGTCCATTAGCAATGGCCCTTGTTAATGTGTCCTTTTGCCGAGGTAGTTTGTGAGGAAGGGACTGCTCATGAAAAGCGCCTGCTGGATTTCCTCTCTGAGTGCGCATGACTCTGTGACGCACTGTACTTTGCCACTGACAAACTTGATTTAATGGAACAAATACTCAAATGAGATTTGATGATACCAATTTCCTGGTCGAGGAGGAATAAGCAGATAGGTTTGCCTATATTTTCTGTCCGGCAAGACTTAACCAGATCCTGATACGCACTTTTAATGAGTGGCAAGTAGATACACTACACGTATATTTGCTTTGGGGGGAGGGAAGGATACTTGTAAAAGATTTCTTTTTTTAGATTTGGAATTCACAATAGGTTTCTTCCATTCCTCCTTAGTAAATAATGAAATACTTGTTAGCTAGACCGAGTAACGTGACCTGAGACACGTCTACTTTATAACAAGTCTGTTTCCTTAATGGGCGGGAGGACCTCTGCGGGCAGCTCTAAGGGCTCGCGTCTGCTTTCAGTGCCATCCTCTAGTCATACGGAGGACAGCACTTCTCCCGACGGGTCCTTCCCCTTCTTCTCCTCGCCCCGGTCCATGTCAATCACGTGCACCACTCCGGGCTTGAGGATCAAGTCATCGGTCTCTACCTGGCTCCGGTTGTCCTCCACCTCCATGTAGCTCCCTTTGGTTTGCTGAGCAGCCTTGCTGAAGGCTTCTTTGAACCGACGTTTGAGTTCAACATCTGGACAGAAGACATACTCGTACAGGCCACCAGCAAGGACAGCTCCTATTATTGGTCCAACCCAATATATCTGGGGAGAAGAGGGAGGGGTTAGAGAACTCATGCAGAGAAACATCACTCCTTCGAACAACTCCCGCAGATAGAATTTAGTGGGCTTAAGTTAAGAGAGGGTCATGTGCAGGCCATGGTTAATGGGGCATTGTATGAAAAAGAGAAAGCTGGACAGAATAAAGAAAAATACATCAAATCCATGTCAGAGAGCCATCGTTAAATGACATTTGAACAGAAAACAAGAAAAGGCTGTTTTCTCTTTTCCTGTCATTAATGACTTTCTTTGCATTGTCTGATGATCACTGAAGTACAGGTAGCTCCTCCCTGGTGAGACTGCATATAAGCGGACATAAGAATCCTTCCACTAACACAGAAAAAGGTTCCGGCGAGGGCTTTTCTTGTTTTCTTAATGCCGTCTCACACCGGCCTCCTGCTGCTCAGTCACAGCACAGATCTCCTCGGGAGCTGCAGTTGTCCGGCGCAGCATGACGAATGGGCTCTCAGCTCCCCGCTCAGCTTCTGTGCGTGTTTGCATCAGCGACTTCACTTCCTAAACCTCAATTTCCTCACCGACAGAGTGGGGTTATAATAACACATTCCTCATGGGTGCAGGATTGAATGGAAATGGATTGAAACTTAATTACGTGCTTGTAAATACTGAATAGTTCCGGGTGCACAGTAACCTGCCCCATTCCCTGTTTCCTAGATGATCTAAAGGTGCATGTGTCCAGGGTGGCTATGCTAGTACGTCACCTCCGTTCATGTCACCTGCTTTTCCTCTCTAACATGTGGGGATGTGATTTAATGAGCACCCTCCGGTTCCTCCGTTACTCTGCTCGCAGAGCGCCTGCTCGCCCTTCCTTCCCAGGTGACGTGGAGAAGAACCCTGGACCGAGTTCACGGATGCTGGTTAGCTGAGGATGAGCAAGCAAGTCCACAGGGATTTTAATTCAATACATGAAAGCTTTTACCATATCACTTCTGTGTCTAGAATAAAGTTTTGAGTTTGGGATAAACGTCAACATCGGCTTTAGAGCACATGTAGGCTGTGGAATATTAGACATTCATTCAAGAGATTCACGTGGGCTGCCCTAGCCGGTTTGGCTCAGTGGATAGAGCATTGGCCTGAGGACTGAAGGGTCCTGGGTTCGATTCTGGTCAAGGGCACATGCCCAGGTTGTGGGCTTGATCCCCAGTAGGGGGCGTGCAGGAGGCAGCCGGTCAATGATTCTCTCTCATCATTGATGTTTCTATTTCTTTCTCCCTCTCTTCTTCTCTGAATCAATAAAAAAAAATTTTTTTTAATGTTTTTTTTTAAAAAAAGAGAGATTCACGTGGGCAACAGAAACCCTGTTTACTGGGCACTGTCTCTGAGCCAGCTGTACTTTGTACTTTTCTCATATCCACTCATTGAACCCCAACGATACCCTTTGAGCTATAGATGTAATTATAATTCCCATTTGGCCAGGAAGAAAACCGCCTCTCTGAGAGGGTAAGAGGCTTGCTTCAGAGTTCATGCCTAGCAAGCAGTGGAGCTGGGATTTCACCACTCTTTTGAGCTATTATATTGTTTCTACTGTACAGTCTTCTCATTGGAAAAAAAAAGTGATGAATGATTCTGGCTTAAAACACTCTCTGAAAATTAATATCAGCATCCTCACTGCAAAATCTAAAGAGAATCCACACTTTAAGCTAAAGCTGAACACATGTACTTAACAGGGGGACAGGGTAGAGTGGTTACAAGAACCAGGTTTCTCATCTCCAACATGAAATAAACCGTGTGAGAGCGTACCTTCTCCAGGCTCTTTCAGAGGAGCCCCCCTCTGACTGTCTTTACTCTTTGTTCCTTTGGTAAAGTCTCCTTGGATATATTTACTCCACAAGCTACAAGTCCCACAGGGAGACTAGAGACTGCTACGTAATCACCACACTTCCCCCGAACACCTATGAACAAGGCATCTAGCTGCATGTGCTAAAAATGAACAGACCTGAATTTCAAACGGCTATTTCAAAACAAAGGCTGGGGGCAGGAGGGAGGGGGATAAGAGATCAACCAAAGGACTTGTATGCATGCATATAAGCATAACCAATGGACATAAGACACTGGGGGGTAGGGGAGGCCAGGGGACTGTCAAGGGCGGAGGGAAAAAAAGGACACATATGTAATACCCTTTGTAATACTTTAAGCAATAAAAAAATTTAAAAAAACACAAAAAACAAAGGCTTAAAGTACGTTTTAAAAGCTATAAAGGAAAATAATTTTGTTCTTAAAAATACAGAAAAGCATAAAAAAGAAAACTAAGATAATGTCATTACTATTTTGTTGTTACTTCTAATCTATCATCTATCTATATCTATTTATCTATCTGCAGATATACTTTAACTTAGTTCTAAATTTCACACACCATTGGACATTCACTTTCAGTGGGAGTAAGTTTGTTATAAAATAACAGGGAGAAACTTTGATTCAATCAATAAGCTAAGACTTTTCCTACTCTTTAAATCATCACTAGTTTACCACACCTAACAAGTAATTAGTAAAAACATATTTTCATCTGCATTTTAAAGTCCTCATAAATTAAACTGAAAGTTGTCATTTTTTCCTAAATTTTATTTATAAAAAATAGTTTGAATTAAAAAGGTTAGGTTGAACTAAAAGTTGTGTGGTTTTCATAAGATCTATATACTATCCATGAAAAAATTTCCATTCCCGCTGGTGTGGCAAATTTGTTGAGGCACAAATTTAGAAATATCAGTGGCCAAATAACCAATCTGATGGGTAGTATTGTTGAAAAGTCTTTGCCTGTCTCAGTCCTGACTCTTGCTGTAGAACACCGACTCACAGGTCATTCAATGGTGGGGATTTCCTGTAAAAACACCGTATAGACTGTGGCTGGTTGGTGTGACTGGGCCAGTAACCACCCCGTGCCCGAGACTAAAACACAAGTGACGTACTTTTATGTTCACAAACGGAAAGTTGTAGAACAGCACTCACAACATATAAGTGACAATAAGAGTTAGCCCCGTGTGAGGCTGGCTCGCATGCCTATTTATTTTGCTTATTGTAAGTTAGTGTGTAAGTGGCCGAAAAGCTGCTATATTATTCATTTAAGGAATTAACATTCCTTTTTGTAAGACACAATAGAAATAAAATTGGTCGTGATATTTGAAAACGGGCACCCCCGCTCTCGGAAGCACCGCCAGCCCATCAGCAGGTAGGCTAGGCCGGGCTGAAAGCTGGCCTTTCCTGAAAGTCACTTATTTTTCCGGCTGAGGCTCCGGTGATAATAGCGTAGACATTTGCACCATTCATTCCTCGCCATCTGCACTTCAGATGCTTCCAACTTGCATCCTATTAATTGGGTTCACGCTTTTGTAAACAAAAAAGATAACTGTTTTTGCTACGGGCAGTGCTTTTAAGCATTTCATTCTTTTCTCCTCCTTCATCTTCTTTCTGCAAGTGTATTTTCTGTTATTACCAGGAAAGCTTTACTTTCAATTATTTAAAAACCGTCTCCTCTCCACTGTCCTGATTTTAACTGGTTCCACATAGACAACCTCCCTGTGCAACGCATTCTGCTGTAGTCTGTCAGACACAGTGCCCAGAGCAGCGCTTAAAAAAAAAAAAAGACTATTACTGAGGCTCAGAGCGGATACAAGAGGAGATGTTTTGCCACGGATCTGCGCTAGTCTCTCTTATGAAAAATGTAATCAATAGGGGGTCAAGGTTGGGAGGAAGTACGAGAAACGAGTGAGAAAAACAATGAAAAAAATAAAGAGCTCCCTGGGTAACTGTCCTCAACACGATAGTTACCCAGTGGTTTTCCCAGATTCCCATGATCACCGCAGGGCCGAAGGATCGGGCGGGGTTCATGCTGGCACCAGTGTAATTGATCTGCAGGGAAAAAGAAAGCAATTCAGACTTTGGTTAACAGGTCTACTGACTGGTCTCCTTCATTGAGATTCGCTACCATTTGCAGTGCTAACTGCACTGTCAAGACGCTCGCTGCCATATCGACATCCTCGTGGAAAAGTTGGTAAAACCATCACCGAGAAGGGACAGACATGGCTGGAGAGTCAAGGACTACAGCTGTTAAACACAACATTTTCAGGCCAGCTCTAGGGCGAGGCTAAATGAAATGGATCAATTATTCAAATGGACTTGGAAACTTACTGCAAATAAATGTCCAATGGCAACAGAAAATCCAATTGCTAAAGCGATGGAGCCAGTGACATCAGTCCGTTTGGAGTCACAGCTGGCAAAAATAGTAAACACCAACTGAAAGGTAATGATCAGCTCCACCAGGAGACCGTGGCCCGCAGTGAGGTTCCCGTGAACCTAGAAGGAGAAGAGCACTCCGTCTGAGCTGAAGCAGGAATTCATTTTCGATGGCGACGCAGCATTGTGAAAGGCATATTTCATCCGTATAAAAGCAATGGTGGGCATACGATTTCACTTATATGTGGTCTCTACAGAGCAAAATAAAGCAACAAAACAGAACCAGACTCAGAGACACAGAGAACAGACTGACGGTTGACAGAGGGGAGATGGTTGGGGAGCTGGGTGAACAAGGTGAAGGGATTGAGAAATACAAATTGATAGTTACAAAATAGTCACAGGGATGTGCAGTATAGCCTAGTGGATATAGTCAATGATATTGTAACATATCATTGACTATATGGTGCCAGGTGGGTGGTGGGGACTGGGTGAAAAGGTGAAGGGATTGAGAAGCATAAATAGGTAGTTTCTGAATAGTCACAGAGATCTAAATGACAGCACAGGGAATAGAGTCAACAATCTATAATAATAAAAGTGTAATATGCTAATTAGACCAGACAGCCGAACGACCATCCGGCCGTCCTTCCAGATGACCTTCTGGACGAAGCTGGGGCTGTGGGGGCCAAGGCAAGCCGTGAGGGCCAAGCCCCTTGCACAAATTTCGTGCACTGGGCCTCTAGCATTGAATAACTATGTATGGTGCCAGGTGGGTACTTGAAATACAAGGGGGGCCGCTCTGTAAAGTACATGAGTGTCTAACCACTCTGCTGTACACCTGAAACTAATACAAAAGAATCTTGAATGGAAACTGTAATTAAAAAAACAACCTGGTGGCTGAGTCTTCCACCCCACTCCCAACTGAGACACTGCTCCCATCCCCCCCAAAAGAAGGCATGAATTTCCACTCATTTGGGGCAATCACGGGCAATTAATTACTCTTACAATGACCAAGCAGGAGTCTGTGCTGAATGTTTTTTCTACAAGGGAAGCAAAATGTGCCACTGCTCTACTTAACTTATAAAGGAGTTTCTTGAGAGTCTTGTAATTTTATAAGGAAATGATTAAATCCATTAATTAGATTTAAATTAATTAATATATTTCAATTAAATTTTAAACCCAGTGTGTGTGTGTTTTAAATCAACTCTGGTGCTGAGCTAACAAACGATAATCCTAACCAGCTAAGAGCCAAGCTAGGTTCAAATGCCAACGTACTTCTTTAAGTGTGACCCTTAACATAGATCATTTAAAATTTCACAAACATGGCAAGAAACAAATTGTTTCTTCTGCTAGTGAACCAATGAATAATGGTAATAAAAGTGTCTTATGCTAAATGTATAGTTGGTGTAGTCACTGGGGTGGGAGAGAGAGAAGGAAAAACCAACACAAATTTTGTGCCATCAAGACAGTAATTTTTCAAGTCACTTAATAGCAAACAAGAATTTCATATGGATGCATGCAGCGTTGCCAGAACCAGCTCATCATGAATCATCCGAAATGCCCTGAGAATAAATTAGCCATTTTAGGAAGGTCTCTCAGGCCCCAGGCTGTCATTGAGTAGAGTCCGCAAGAAGCTTGAAGTCCTGGTATAAAAATAAGAGCGAATGGTGTACATTTGCACCGTGGAATACTGCGCAGCAGTGAAAAAGAAGGATCTCTTACCCCTGAGACAGCATGGAGGGACCTGAGAGTATCACGCTAAGTGAAATAAGCCAGTCAGAGAAAGACAAGTATCACATGATCTCACTCATATGTGGAATCTAATGAACTAAATAAACAGACGAACAGAGTGGATCCAGAGACATAGATGCGTAGAACAGAGTGTGGACTCTCAGAGGGAAAGCAGGGGTGGGAGGGTGGGAGGTGATCAACCAAAGACCTTGCATGCAGATATGCATAACCCATGGACACAGACAATAGTGTGGTGAAGGCCTGGGGTAGGAGAAAGAAGCAGGGTGGAGGGGTTCAATGGGAGGAAAGGGGAATGTCTGTAATAATTTCAAAATTAGTGATACATTAAAAAATAGAGAGAGTTGCCAGGTTAAATATGGGACTCCCAGTTAAATTTGAATTTCAGGTAAACTACATTTCTTCGTCATGTAATACTTTCCACAATAAAAATTAAAAAAACAAACAAAACTAAACTAAAAGCTAAGGAGGCTACCGTGGTGACCCCCAGGCCGCCCACCACACCGGGCGGGGTGACGAGGTAGAGGATGCCGGCCCCGAGGATGGCGCCCAGGCACTGGGCCGCGATGTAGAAGACAGACTTGGCGAGGCTCATCTTCCTGGTGCACACCATGGCCACGGTCACGGCGGGGGTGATGTGGCCGCCGCTGATGTGGCCGAAGCACTGCAGAAAGGGGGCACATGTAATACTTTCCACAATAAAAATTAAAAAAAACAAACAAAACTAAACTAAAAGCTAAAGAGGCTACCGTGGTGACCCCCAGGCCGCCCACCACGCTGGGCGGGGTGACGAGGTAGAGGATGCCGGCCCCGAGGATGGCGCCCAGGCACTGGGCCGCGATGTAGAAGACAGACTTGGCGAGGCTCATCTTCCTGGTGCACACCATGGCCACGGTCACGGCGGGGTTGATGTGGCCGCCGCTGATGTGGCCGAAGCACTGCACCATGGTGGCGATGCTGAGGCCAAAGCAGAGGGAGATGAGGACCATGTCCACGGGCAGGGGCTTCTCCGCGCCGCCCCAGTTGATGGTGGAGCCCAGGCTGAGCAGCACGAAGATGAGCATCGCCAGGAACTCGGCCGTGACCGCCTTCCAGAACGCCTGGGTCCAGACCCCGCGGAAGGCCACCATGACGCTCTGTCTTCTGCACCAAGGCCCGCACTTGCTGAAAAGAAAACGAAATCAGCATCAGAAGCTGCGCAGCCTGGGCTCATGAATCCAGGAGGCACCGGGCCCGCGGGCTGGCTCCACTGCGGGGAGCCCCCCAGGTCACCTGCATGCCACAAAGACTGCTTCTGGGAAACCCCTGCCATTAGGTAATTGTCCCCTAAACCAATGCTCAATAGATTGCTGTCCCGGTCTCCTTCGATTTGATACGAAAAGATACTGCAGTTTCACTGGAAAATGATCAGAATTGTCACCAGAAAGGCAAACGTCTAAATCAAAGCCCGGGAAGATGGAGAGTCAGATGCATTTCCTTTGCAGTTCGTGCCCCCCCCCCCGCCCCCCAGCAAGCTCTAAGTGTCACTGGGCCTTTCCTGGTCGGTTATATTTTGAGCAGAAAGCACTAAAGCAGGGAGGCTGTCTCCAGGTGTGCAGTTTATTGCTCAAAATGGCATTTTGCGAATGGATGGGAGACTCGGATTAGGGGGCTGTTGGGCAGCTGGAATGCTGAGGTCTGTCTTTGCAGAAGGCAGGCTCCTCGGGAGAGGGGATCCCCTGGTGACAGGCAGGGGCGTAGGATCCCCAGGGCCTCAGAAGAGCCGGGACCCCCTCCTGCTCCCCAGCCTGAGGGAGTGGCCCCAGGGACACTGAGCACAACTCCTGTCCAGACAGGAGAGCTGGGACCCCGATGTGTCAACCTCCGGCCCCAGGGGAGCCTCCCCAAGGCCAGGACAGGGAGAGTGCTACCATGGGCGGTGCCCAGGCTGGGGGGCGGTGCCCAGCCTCAGGGAGGTGGCCAAGTCAGCCTGAGGGAGTGGCCCCAGGGACACTGAGCACAACTCCTGTCCAGACAGGAGCGCTGGGACCCCGATGTGTCAACCTCCGGCCCCAGGGGGGCCTCTCCAAGGCCAGGACAGGGAGAGCAACACCATGGGCGGTGGCCAGGCTCAGGAGCAGTGCCCAGGCTCAGGGCGGTGCCCAGCCTCAGGGCGGTGGCCAAGTGGACACACAGAGCTGCCATCTGCTCGGAGCCCCCACTGCCCGCGTCCCAGGTGGCCCAGCAGCCCCCACCCCCTGGGAGAGCTGCACCCTGGCCCTCCTTGTGCTGGACCCTCTCAGCCCTGATGTTCCCTTCAGATAAACTCCCAAAGGGATCCTGAAGCTGGTCCATGCCAGCGGACCCAGGCACCCTGGCCCTCTCCAGGGGCAGCCCAGGGCGGACAGCCAGGGAGGCGGAGCTTGGGGGCGAGGGACACCCAGGCCCTGCAAGCACAGCCTGGGAGGGAAGGGCTTCTCTGGAGTCTTCCTGGCGGCCCCTCCTGCTCGGCCCTGGAGGACAGCCTGGGGCCTCCCCCGGGGGCACTCCTGTGCTGGTGGGGTGAGGGGGAGGGGTGGTGGGAGCAGAGAGACAGCCTTGGGAGTGAAGACACCCCCTCCCTGGGACGGACCCCCCTCTCCCTGCCCGCAGACCTCTGAGCTGGGGAGACGGGCTTGGGGACAGGAAGCCAGCCGCATACTGAGAGAAATGACTGGGATCCCCCTTGGGGGAAATCACCCCATGTCTCCACTTCTCAAGGCTTTTGCCCTTATTCTTTGCCTGTTTTAGCAGCGAGAGTGAAGGTATGGAGAGCAGGTAGCAGAGATCCAATCACAAGGCCCATGGGAAGTTAGGCAAGGAGGCCGAGTGTTCCAACAGCTGCTGTCCTGCCGCTGCCTCCTGAGATGCTAGTGAGAGAGGACCCCTCTCCCCCACACCATCCCTTGGGGTCCCCGGGAGACAAAGGGCCAGGGGAACTCAACCTTGACCTTCAGGAGCTCAACTCAGCCTCTGGTCTGACGTGGGGGGGGGCCTCCCTGCAGAGTTGGAAAGAGACCCCCATTTCCTGCCCAAGCCCAGGAGGTTCCAGGGGGAGGGGACCACCCCATCCCAAGCCCGCTGCCCAGTGAACCCTCTGAATGAACCCCGTAATTACAAAAACCCAGCGGGAGGGCCGGGACCTCAAACTCCCCAGAGGAGGAGAAAATAGAGACAAAGCAGCCCTGGGAATGGCCGGGAAGGCGCCCTGGGAAAGAATTACAAACGTCCCCAAGGGGAGAAGGCAGACAACTCACAAATGGGAGAGAAGGGATGTGGTGGCTTCTGCAGCCGGGGCGCGCCCGATGGCCAGGGGCAAGGTGCTGGCACCTGCCGCTCCTCCGCGGCTGTGGCCGGAGTTAGTGGGAAAGAGGAAGCGACAGAGCAGAAAGCCGAGGACCCGGTGGGCACTCCTCTCTCAGCCCCTCTCCCTCCTCCTCTCTCAGCCCCTCTCCCTCCTCCTCTCTCAGCCCCTCTCCCTCCTCCTCTCTCAGCCCCTCTCCCTCCTCCTCTCTCAGCCCCTCTCCCTCCTCCTCTCTCAGCCCCTCTCCCTCCTCCTCTCTCAGCCACTCTCCCTCCTCCTCTCTCAGCCCCCATCCCTCCTCCTCTCTCAGCCCCCTCCCCACCCTCCTCCTCTCTCAGCCCCCCTCCCTCCTCCTCTCTCAGCCCCCCTCCCTCCTCCTCTCTCAGCCCCCATCCCTGCTCCTCTCTCAGGTCCTCTCTCCCTGCTCCTCTCTCCCTGCTCCTCTCTCAGGCATCCGTCCACCTCTCCAGGGACCTAATTTCAGAAACTCAGTTGCTCTTCCAGCTTTAAATTTTCATCAGAAAAAAATACACACAAAAACCAAACAGATAAATAAACTGCTGACAGCGCATTTAACTTTCTTTCAAAACCCAGAGTCCGATCCCCTCCCAGGACCCAGCGACCGGCCGCCAAGTGTCCTGGCAGCGCACCCACACCTGTGGCCTCAGCAGCTCCCCCCGCGGCGCGAGCCCCCTGCGGCCATGTCAGTGTCCCCTTCAACCCCACGCGCTGAACGGAGCAGCACCGTTTGTTTGGCTTCTTTTGCCCCAGAACAAAGGGGCTCGCTGGTGTGTCCGGGTTGCACGGAAAGGGGCACTTTTCCTTCCAGGGACACCCAGCCTTCCTGCTCCCGGCGGCCGAGCTCCTGAGCGATCATTTTTCGGATGAAAAATGCTGCCGGCAGCCCTACCTGCAGCGGGTCCCCCTCTCGTGCTGCCTGGGTCTCAGCTTGCACCCCTTTCCCGCCGCCCGCTCCCTGCCCTGTGAGCCCGCTCAGGGCTCAGCCCTAACCCCTGCTCTCAGTCTCCCCCTGGATTCCGCGGAGAAGGCCCAGATCTCTGATAAGGCCGCCCGGTCCCGGAGTCTGGCCCCGAGCGCTGTCCCCTTAGCGACGCAGGACTTACCCCCACCGCCTGGCCGCGGGTCTGGGTCTGTCGCTCATGCCTTCCCCCGCCGAGTGCGCGCGGCCCGCCCGCCGCTCCCGGTGCCCGGAGTCAGATTACGGGACTGGTCTGATTGGGCTGGGAGGGCAGGGGGGAGACTGCCCGGTGGCGATCACTCAGTGCCATTCGCACTGGGCAGAGCTTTCCTCTCCCTGGTCCCCGTGGGCACGGGCCTTCAGGAACACAGCCCGCCGACGCTGCGCTTCCTTAATGGCCATCTGACCATAGGACCCCCCCAAATCCTTGTCTGCGCTCTCCCCCCGCCCCCTCTAAGAAGTGGTCGGTTGTGTGTTTACAGTTGAAATTGGGCAACTCTGAGACCAAGGATAGCACCTTCCAGCCCTTGAGATGAACTGAGAGGCCGCAGCGCATTAGTTTTTTTGAGCCGCAAAATAGCCGCTGGCGTTTATGTGAAGTGTTTGATCTGAGAAGCGGCATGTTAAGCACAAAAGGTAACGCAGGTCTGTCGGCAGCCTGGGCAGCCCGGCCGGATAACAGGGAAGAAAAGTAGGAACTAGGGCGTCTCCGCGATGCTGACCTGGGTTCTATACTAACAACTGTTGGGGAAGAAGTAGCAAAGGAAGACAGATAGCAGTTGGGTGGGGAGTCATTGGGAGCTGTAGGGGGGTTTAATGTCTAGAAACCCGAGGACATCATTAGTGGAGCCCGCACCATCACTCAGGCTGCTTGGCCTGAAGACAACTCCGGCCAACGGTGCTGGTGAGCTGTCAGGCCTGAGGTTGGGCGGCAGCGCTCTCCTAACGGGGCTCTTTAAATGGGCCTCAGGTGCCTCGAATTGGAATCATCATAGCCCTTTGCTGATGAGTCAGTCATCACTGGCCCATACAGGGCTCTCTTATTCTATGAGAGTTAATTACTCTTCAATAAGACAATGGCCATTTAGGACCGTACTGCTCAGCCCAACCAGGAGATGGTCGCTCACATCTCTCTGTGGGACCTCCCCCCTCCCGGCCCTGCCTCATCATCTGATTTCAGACCAGAGTCTATTTCAGCGCGAGGCGTGGGAAGGAAGAGCCCTGGGTTCTCCTCATGGGTGAAGCCCATGGTCATGGTCATAGCCACGGGGGCCCGGGCTCCCGAGGCTGCTGGCTGCGGGGGATCTTCTTTTCGGTGCCCTCGCTGCCGGCCTGGCTCATTAGCAGGCTCCCCACACCATGGCAGTTCCCAGCAGCGGTTCACAGAGTGCCAGCAGCACTTGGCCGCTCAGCTTCTCAGAGCCTCTGCCTTTCTTCTGGCTGCTGGTCGCCGCCCTGGTGGGAGGTGTGGACAGTCCAGTTCCTAAGGGTGGCGGTTCCGTTCCCGGTTCCAGGTTCCCATCAAGGGAAGGGCCACCCTCATTGGCACCAGCTCTTACACTTATTAGCACGCTCAGCAGGGGCTGATGGCTGACCATGGATTAACCCTTCACCGACTGGAGGCAGTTTTTCTCACGGGGCGGTACTTACTGTCCTTTTTAGGTTCCAGGTGGTAGAACGGATCCTTCTGCCACACCTTCAGCCCCGAGCAAAGCCCGAGAGGTGCCTGGCGTTTCTTTGGGGAGGGACACAGCTCTCCAATAGGATTGTCTGTGGCCTGCGGCGGGGCACTCAGGGTGTGAGGATGGGAGAAGGCAGCCGTAATGAGTTCGTGGTGTTGGTGGGGAAGAGAGGAGGTGGGGAGCCTGGCGAATATTCACTATAGTGTCTAAGTGGACCTGCTTTGAAGTGTCCTGGGTCAAGAGCCAAAAGACATTTGGGATCTAAAATATTTTTCCCCATTGGTGAATTTGGAAGAACCGATTTCACTTAGAAATAGAATAACAATGTATTGATGCAATCTCGACCTGCTCACTGAGTCGCCCTGCGATCTGTGGGGAGGATGGTAGCCGGGTGTGCTGATTCCAAATCAGTCCTTTGGGTCAGGCACCTGGGAGTGTCGGGGTGAGGAGCCTTGTGAAGCCGTGGGCCAGGAACATGTGAGGAAGAAGGAAAGAGGGTCAATGAAAGTTACAATAATTCTCAGCAGAAAGTAGCCGGCCGACATATTTCCGAATTTTTAAACTACTTACGCCACACGGCTCTCCTTTGGCGCTGCCGTGCGTCTTCGGGGTTGGTGGACTGTCCCCCACCTTTGCCCTCAGAACGTTGACCTCTTCCTCCTGTGTTCAGAGAGTGACAACTGAAACACAGCCCTGGCAGTGCCAGCAGGGCCTCAGTCCCAGATGGGAAGTGCCCCAGGCTGGTGGGGGCAGAGGCAATGGCAACCCATAAATCTTATTTTGCTTTTCACAAATCACAGCATCATGAACCCCCCTAGAGCCCTTATATATCAATATGTTCAGTAAAAACAAACACATAAATACAATAGCAACTGCAGGGGCCACCACCACCACCACCATCACTACCACCTCCACCACCACCAGCAGCTCACAGCCACCACCACTACCACTACCACCACCACCATCACTACCTCCTCCACCACCACCAGCACCAGCAGCAGCAGCTCACAGCCACCACCACTACCACTACCACCACCACCATCACTACCTCCTCCACCACCACCAGCACCAGCAGCAGCAGCTCACAGCCACCACCACTACCACTACCACCACCACCATCACTACCTCCTCCACCACCACCAGCACCAGCAGCAGCAGCTCACAGCCACCACCACTACCACTACCACCACCACCATCACTACCTCCTCCACCACCACCAGCACCAGCAGCAGCAGCTCACAGCCACCACCACTACCACTACCACCACCACCATCACTACCTCCTCCACCACCACCAGCACCAGCAGCAGCAGCTCACAGCCACCACCACTACCACTACCACCACCACCATCACTACCTCCTCCACCACCACCAGCACCAGCAGCAGCAGCTCACAGCCCCCACCACCACCACTACCCCCAGCAGCTCACAGCCACCACCACCACCACCATCACCACCTCCACCACCACCAGCACCAGCAGCAGCAGCTCACAGCCACCAGACAAAGGGCTGTAATGGTGGCTTTGTTCTTTTATCAAAGAGGCGTTGCCTTATTATAATTCAGAGTGGTTTCCAGAAGCGTAGTTCACCACCCAGAAAGTAATATAAAAATAACAATCTAAAAACAGCAAGGAACCCAGTGTTTGACCTAGCTTCCCATTCGTCAGTGAGGTGCATCTGATGAGACCTTCTCCAAGGCCCCCGAAATCCTTTCACTGAACCCCCGTCCCGCCCCTAGCCCCGTGGATCCAGGTCTTCCCCAGTTGGTATAGCAACACATTTTCCTTGATTCGGATCCAGGCGGCCTCTGCTTCGGCTGGGAGCTGTACTCTGCTGACATTTAAGGCAGGAATTCCCTGGGAAAACAGTCAAGAGATTCTTTTGGTGCTGCTGGCAGGGCCCCAAAGGGTTTAGGGTTCCCCTCTCTAGGCAAATGGGAAGGGAGCGAGGGAGGGAGGGGAGAGAAACAGAAGGACTTTATTGAGTGACTGTATTTCATCTGGAGCTTGTACAAAAAAAGCAGAAATGTGGTGAGATGACTGGATACGTTTCTTACCCTTATCTCTTACCCAGCTACCATGACAGTCCAGACCTGGGCTGGGTGTTTTAAAGGCTGCTGAGACATCCATAGTAAAAAAAAGAAAGAAAAAAGAACATCTGTAATACTTTCAACAATAAAGATAATGAAAATAAATCAGTTCCCAGGGCAGCAAAGAACGTTGGGATCTAAGGCGTTGGGCCAAAATGTTTGCAATGGTCAATAATCGAAGTATAATCTGTAGTAGCAATCATTCCAAAATTTAACTTAAATTTGAACACTTCCCATCAAGGGGAGGTCACCCTCATTGGCGCCAGCTCATATACTTATTAGTACGAATGAAGGCCCTTCCCAAGAGAAGAGCAGAAATGGTCATAATCTGTGACTCTCAACAGTCAAGTCATTCAGACAAACTTTCTCTTGCTTCTTTCCTACCTCACCGTGCCTCCTTCTCTAAACTCTGTACCTCCGGTTTCACACACGCAGAAGAAATCTACATCCGAAAGGCTCACGGGGCCTCTTAGAGGCGACAAATCTCATGGATGGTTTCACCTTGGCCTGCATGTCCTCACCTCTAGCTGCCCCTGGGCCCGCATGCCTGTGGCAGGGGACCAGGCATAGACGTGGCCATGCCTTCTCAGCTCCCACCTCTGAAGAGTCAACTAGGGGGTCCTTTCATCTTTCATGCGTCTCCCTTTTCTCTTCGCCACGCGATCTCTGATTCATTTTTAAACAGTCATCATCACTGATCTCCGGCTTGGAACCTGCCCATTGCAAACTTGCTGGGCTCTGTACCATTGAGCGGCGGCAGTCCTGTCCTTGGGCCCAGGCGGGGGCCCCTGCCCTGGGCCCCGCTGTAGGAGGCTCTGTCCCTCCTCTGGGAGCCCCTCTAGGCCACACACCCCATATCCCGGATATGGGCTCTAGTCACTGAAAAATCCCACCGCAACCCGTGATCCTATGGGATACTCTACCGTTAGAGCCAGGTAGTGCATCTGTACCATTCACTACTGTTTTGATGCTAAATTGGACTCTCTTGTTAGATATAAACTGAAGTTGTGGGCTACATATATGTCTTACATTTCTTACAGTAATGACGATGATAATGATGATAAAAGTGACACATTACCATTGGGCTGTGGAAGGAGAAACAAGAGATTGCAGTCTTGACTTCATCACTGAACTGTTAGTGGCTGTGGTCGGTCCACTTGGCCTTGTTGAGCCCAGTTTCCTCATCTGTGAAACGGGAGGGAGTGCTACCTCTCTACTCTCTTTTTCAAAGTCATGGCACATCCAGATGCCCTCTTCACTCCGTTCTGGATTTGGAGCTCATCTTGTGTGGGTCTATAACACTCTAGTTCCCCAGACCTGCCCACGGAATTGTTCCCGGCACACCGGGATCACTGCTCACCTGTCTAACTCTATCGCTAGTCTGTAATCGCAATAAGAGTGGGTATCTTAGTAATTAATTAGTCTTAGTAATAGAAAGGAATTCGTCTTAGTAATTAACTGCATTCTCCGTACCTAGCATAGATCCAAGACACATTTTAAAGAAAAGAACACCGCTGTGGAATAAACAAACAAGTGAGTGAGGCTCAAGCAGGGTCATATTAGCAGAAGTGCTTTCTTTGCAAACGGAATTAATAATTGTAAGTAATGCTGATGCACAGGACATGCCATTATAAGTCAAGAAACCTATCGTGACAAACCTCAAAAAAGCCATGTGGTCTTGATCTCATTTCCCCATTGACCGAAAGCAATGATGCCCTTTCCAGCTCAGGTCAGAGGGAGCCAGACTCTGGGAAATGTGAGCCTGGGGCTGAGAGGAAAGCCAGCGGGGGGCGAACCCACTGTCAGTTCTCCTGCCTGTCTCCGTGTGCTCTCCCCAGGGCCTCTGTTGAAGGGCAGACAAGGACATCGGTTCCATAGGGGTCAGTTTTGTACGGGTGAGAGGTGGAAGAGCCGGTCCATTTGCATATTAGGCCATTCGGTCCATTTGCACAGTTCGGGGTCAGTTTTGTACGGGTGAGAGGTGGAAGAGCCGGGACAAGGAATGTGTACCTTTCTCTGGTGAGCTCTCCTGCACCCAGCATGTGCCAGATTTCCACCACTTCTGTTCCACCGCCACCACTTTCATCAGACCTAAGGCAACTGCTTCCCATTATTTTATAATATGTATATGCTTAAAACCAAGTCATACTTTTTCATAGCACTGATCTATGCAACACTAGCATCAGGATGATATGCTAATTAGATTTTAATTTTTAATATATAATTTATCAGTTGTGTTGTGGGAGAGACTATTCTAAGAAACTATAAAATGGAGAAGGATAGAGATGTGCGGTGATTTTATTTTATTTTGTT